GGGGGCGGGGAGCAATATGCTTTATCAAGCAAAGAACCTAATTGGCTTTCGACTGGCCCAGCTGAGCGCAGAGGGGATGCTGGATGAGCCATGCCAGCGTAGCAGCACCTCTTCTCGAGCAGCAGATTGCTTTCCTTCACAAGCTGAGCATGCAAGAAGCACACAGAGGAAAAAAAAAAAAAGCCTGTTCGTTATCTTCCTGCAGCTAACAAATGAAATCTGTCCTCCGGGCTGCCAAGGATTTCACTGACTATTTTTTTTTTAAAGAAACAAGAAATAAAAGTAAGAAATACGATAACATCGCGGCAATCTCTCTGTGACTGTGCTCTGAGTTACGGCAAGCGGTATTTTATCTTCAGTTCAAAATCTAAATGTGGCAGAGGCGCATTTAAATGTGGTGACATTTATACTTTAAATGCCTTTTACATCTCGTTGGCAGGTTTTACATAGAACATATGTATGGAAAGTAGATAGGGGCCGTGGATGAAAATGCGGAGCAGGGAGAACCTGCAGAGCCATTTGTAGGCAGAATGTGAGTTAAAAGAAAGATGGAGAGGAAGAGAGAAGGGAGGGAGGAGAGACAGAGAAGGAGAGGAAAAAAATCTGGGTTGCCTGGGCAGTAAACAGACATTTTTTTTTTGGTCCCTGACCACTTGTTCCCAGTGCAACTTGTTCCCAGGCACCAGCTCCCCCCGTTCCCTCCCGTCCCAGACAGCTCAGCATCACTTACATGTTGCCACTGGTCCAGGATGAGGGGCCGATACCGCAGGAAGAACTTGAGTGGGAAAGACTCGGGGTCGGGCCAGGACGAGGGGTTTTGCCATGACACTTCCAGCCTCCGAGGGTTATTGGGCACGGGTTTGGCCACCACGCTCTCCGGCGGGTCCGGCTTTACTGGAAGAGAAGAGGGTGGCTGGTAAAGGTTTGCACGCGGCATCCTTCCCTACACCCCTTGGCACAGCTGCCTGGGCTTTGCGCTGTGTGCTTTCCAAGGGGAGCAGCCAACATACAGAACACCCTTTTCCTAAACTAATTAGATGCAAATCACCTTTTCTTCTCCAGGTCAGTGGTATGGCTGTCCTGGCTCAAAATAACCACCGTCAAGGAGGTACCACTGCTGAAGACACATGGAAACAACCTGGCCAAGGTAAAGAGCATCCCTCCTCCCCAGGCCTCCTTGGGTCAGAGTGAGGAGCCCACCAAGCCCAAATCCTGCACTTTCCTCACACCTCATGATTTTTGGGGGTCTGACCCACATTCAAACCCGCTTACCATGCGGTAATGTGGCAGAGTTTGGCCCTTGGGTTTAGGGCTGGGGTTTGGGGGATTCGAAGTGTTGGCACATCATATTTGCCAAGGGCAAAGGATTGCTGTGGTCACCTTCCACCCTAGGTATCTCTCTCTCAGCCCTGCTCTGCTTTTGAGATACTGGGGCTATTTTCTTGCTACCCGACAAGTATTTCAAGTGAATATTAACTGGCTGCAAGCTACGCAACGTGCTTTGAAGTTGCAGCTACTTTTAGAGTGCTGGGAGCAAATCACAGACGGGCTGTGATGCATGGCACTGCCTGTTGCAGAGTGAGCCTTGCTCAAAGGTTTGCTCAACTCCTGACAGCTCAAACTCCCAATTTGCAATAGCAAAGCTACAAAAAGACTGAGATTTGGGTACACCCACGCTTCTCCATTTTTCATGGCCAGGAAGGAGCTGGGAATGGGGAGCTGGGTGCACTGCTGTGCTGCAGGTGGAAGAGGGCTCTCTCTGTGCACTCTAAGAATAGCCATGCACGAGTCCTCATGTCCTGGGAGGGCTCTTAACCCCCTCCAAAGTCCACATGCAGGCCAATAGATCCCCCCTGGCCCAAAAATCTCTGGACTGAGTAATGGTCCCCTGGCTCTGACCACCTTGAGCAGCACCTTGTGAAGGTGCCAGCATCAAACTCCACTCCCAAGCATGGAGGAGGGATGCTGGGGCTGTGGGGAGCCCCTCTCTGCCTGGCAGAGGTCCTGCCCTGCACTCAGAGGTCTTCTCCTCCATGCTGACCCCACGGGTTCATCTGCTGTGGGGGGCAGGTCATGTCCACACAGGGGCTTTGCCTCCCCTGGGAGAGGAAGGAGGTGGCGGTGATGAGTGAGCTGCTCCCTTGCTAGCCTGCCTGCCTGTTGCCTGCAGCCCTGCCCTATGCCTGAAGGGCACCTCTAGCTCTGTTTGAAGTTGTGTGGGACCAGGCGCTGATGTGGGGCCAGTCTGCTGCAAGTGGAGTTGTGTGTGTGCCGTTCGCTGCCTCCACCACCGCTTGTTCCTCTTAGGAGAAACCAGTCTGTGATGCCTTCAAACCCAATTTCTTCGCTGTGGGTGAGGCAGAGGGTGGCACTGAAATGAAGCCACAGCCCAGCCACCTTGGTGGGACCCAGAATTGGCCCTGTTCTCTCCAAGATATAGCCCATCACCACCTCCCATGCCCCAGCCCTCCCGCGCAGCACCCTGGCAGACATTCTGCTGCAGTCCTCCTTCCTTGTCATCTTCACCACCACCCTGACAGCCTCTTCTGCTTCCCATTGCCTTCCCTCTGACATGGTGGGTGCAAGGAGGGCTGGACAGCTTCCTCCATCCTCACTGCATTTGGCGTTCAGAGGATGCTCCTGGAGGCTTGGGGAGCGGCTGGCGAGCAAGCACCCAGGTGCCTGACCACAGGTGCCTAGTGCCACCTCCCAGCTCCCACTGACCCCTCTCTGCAGGAGGATGAGACACAATTTTCCATTTACAGCTTTATCCTTGGCAGGAGGGACGACTTGCTGGGGCTGCGCCGTGCTGAGCTACTCCAGATGGCTGTGCAATTCCTCTGCTCGCTTCGAATCCCAAGGCTCGGGCTGGACATCAGCTTCCATCGACAGGGACTTGGGAGTCCAAATGCATACAGAAAAGTATAAATCCACTGCTGGCTCGGTGGACTCAGTTTGCAAAACAAGTCTGGCCAACTGAACGAATGCAGATGACTGCGAAATGCGGCTCTTCAGTGAGGAAGTGGGAAGGAAGGCGCTGGGCTGGGGATAGATAGACGTGACGGGATACTCCCTGGGGTAACGCAGGGAGCCTAGCCCCTGCTTTTTGGCATGCCAGCCTGGAGCCATGGCAGGGGGATGCTTAAATGCAGTTGTGCTGGGAACAGCACATGTGCTTGGGCAGCAATGAGAGATGCCACTGTGGTGGATTGGAGAAAAGCAAAAAAAAAGGTGCCCTGATGCTGAGGTGGAAGTCGCCTGCCTCTTTGGGGATGTGACCCCCAGACCCACTCCTGCAGGCTGGAGACCATCCCTGGCGTGCAGAGGAGAGCTGCTCTGGCTCTCTGAGTGAGCACGGCAGAGCCCAGCCATTGAAGGCGGCTGCGCTCCTGGCTGCAGGTTAATGGGAAAACCAGCAGTCCCTGCTACCTCCTCATGTGTCCTCCCATCCGTGGGACTCCTGCCCAGGCTAGAAAGTGGAGCAGTGCCAGCCCCTCCAAAAACACAAAGCCAGAGCTGCTCCTGCCACATCCCTCCAAGGCGGTGGGGATGCAAGGACCAGGAGAGGGGACCACAGCCGGTTCAGTGAGGACAGACCTATGTTTTTTAGGACAGACCTCATCATGCCGTGCTCATCATGGGAAACATCAGGGCTGGTCCTGCAGAGGCTAGCTGCGGAGTGAGGAGTGACGGGCTGTGTCCAGCTCCCCGATTTCTACGTGACCTTGAAGGAGTCCTTTATCCTCTGCAGCCTCATGGGTCTGGGCTCCGCAAATGGGGACAAGTGCTCCTCCTTCCCTAGCCTTTGTCTGCCTCCATTTAGCCTGCACATGGTGAGGCAGGGGCTGTCTGGCTGTACATCAGCCAGCATAATAGAGCCCTGTCCTCAGTGCGGGCCTGCAGGCAGTAACATAATAAAAGCAATAATAGCAATAATAATAATGGACGATGGGCATTAGGCTGAGTACTGGTTAAGTGGCTACAAAACCAGATGTAATATTATCCCACAGAGCTGAGGGAGCATCATCAGACATTCCTGGGAAGGGGACTTGGCTGGGAGGCAACTGACAGCTCTTCCCACTTGGTTTTTGGCTGCTGCATCCAAGGAAGGGCTCAGTGTGCAAGAAGAGCCGTGGAGAGCAGCTTTTCCTAAAGGCTCTGCACACTCATGCTTAACTGCAAATCTTTAGCTACCCACCACCCCTGGTTGTTGTTAGACACATCTCAAAATGAAGCTGGTGTTTCAGAAAAGCAGCTGAGACCCTGCAGCATAGAGGGGCCCGTCGCCCATCCCGTCTCTCCAACGAGCACTAAAATGGATCCCTTGTGGCCGTTAAATATCCCCTGGCATTTTCCATGAGCAGAGGGATATTAAACTCCATGTCTTAGCCAAATGTCAGTCTAGGTAATTTAATTCTGCCTCCCTAAGTAGTATGAATTGAACTGACCTTCTGCCTAGGCAACTGTATACCCGTGTTCAGAGACTCTGAATTTCGTACAGACATGGGCACGTTTGTCCTCATGCAGCCCCTCCGAGATGCTCTGCATCTTAATCACCCCAGAGTCGGAGCTGGGAGGATCAAATGACCTTCCCAAGGTCACACAAGGGATGGGTGGCAGATTTGGGGAAGGCACCCATGCCTGCATGGCCCCATCCAAAGCCGCTTTCCTCCTTTTAATGCTGTGCATCTTCTGCTAATTTGCCCCAGGCTCACACAAGGAGAAAGGTGCTGAGGTGGGATGCTGGCTTTGCTGCGTGGTGGTGATGTCCCTGCTTTCCTGGGGGATGCGTGTGCCAGCTACCTGGTTCTTGGGCTGAAACAAAAGTGAGGAAGGTGGTGTTGTGTCCTGGAGAGCCACAAACGTCCCCATGCTGTCCTAGCCACCATGAGGGAGGTGGCAGCTCCTGACACACCACCTCACTCCTCCTTGGCACCTCCCTCTGCTTCCAGGCCCTCTCCCCTCCAGCTCCTCCAACCCCTTTCCCACCTCCTCCTGCTTTAGGCTGCAGCCCTGATGTCTGCAGGGCTTTGCAGAACTTTGCCCTCCCCATGGTCACCTTTATTAATATCGATACCTTTGCAGAAGACGTAATTATGAAAACAATTTCCAGGAGCAAGATGAGGAGGAAGGCAGCCCGGATCTCCTACCGATGAGAGATGGGGGCCAGAGGGCTGGAAAAGCTTTTCCAGTCATCATTGAAAATGACAATGCAGAGTGACCCCTCGCAGCTGGTTGCTAATAACCAGCACGGCACGACCGCCAGCAAGGCATGGTCTCGGGACAGCAAAAGAAAGTACCAGTCATTTTCCACTCAATTAGAGCCCATCTTCCGAGAGGCTGGGGAAGGGATTTTCTGCTGGGGGCTCCAGGGAGGGAGGAAGGAGAGAGGAAGCAAAACCAAAGGAGGTCACTCCTTCACAGGGGGCTTTTTATGTTTGCCCAGGCTGGGTGGGTGGTCCGACCCAGCAGTGGGTCTGCTTCTGGCTCAGATGGTGCCAGGAGGGAGAGCTGGTGGCCCTGCACTGCTCTCGCATTGGCTCCAGGCTGCTCTGTCCCCAGCGGGGTATGAGACCAGGGCTTCATGGCTGGGGTTTAACCTCCATGCAAAAGGTGTGATGGTTTTCTCTAGGATAAGGGGAAAACACAAGGCAGGCTCTGATATTCCCAACCCTGGGATTTTAGAAGAAGCATCATGCAGTTGCTGGTTGACACCGTCTCTCCATTTTAGCAGGATGCGTGCACACGTCGCAATGCTCCCACGCAGCATTTTTCCAACAAGCCGATGCAATGGCTTTGTCCTGAGCCATAGGTTTTCCAGCCCTCCATCTAGCAGAGCAAAAGGCAGCACAACTTCCAAGATGAGATCTCCGTCCAGCTAGATCCACACTGCCAGCACCCCCCATGCTGGGACACAGCCCCAGGTTTGCAGCCGCAGAGGAGAGAGCCAAAAGAGACATCGAAATGCAGAGGCTTCTGCAAAGAGAGCAAGCAACCTGGGGCAAAACTGTGTAGCAAAATACACTAACGCAATGCACTTGTTTTAATTGGAAACACCACGACGGCACGAGGAGAAGCTCCGTTCAGGGTAGGTGGCTGTTGATTGGCAGCAGCTGAGTTCACCCTGTAATGACTCTGCTAAGCTTGTCGACTGCCTGCTTGAACACTCAATCACCACCGCATCTCTGCTTCTTATGCACGGCGGCCATACCAAATCCTGAGGAAGAAAATTTCATAGCTGTACAGAATGTGGAGATTTTAAGGTCACTAGATATTGAAGTGTTTATGGGAGCGGGCTGGCTCTGGGGTGCAGGACACAGCCCTTCCTATCAGCACCGGCACATCGTCCCTTCCCTGAGTGCCATCCGGAGGGTGTTAGAACATCTGCCAGGTGGTGCCGGGGGGGGTCTCACCTCCCACTGCAACCGCCGGGATGTGTCCAGGCACCCTGCAACCCTCCAGGCACTCTTGCAAGATGCAGCGATATTGCACCCGTGCTAATGGCTGGCTCAGGGCAGCACTGGCCTCTGCTCACTGCTCCTCCGACTCGGGCTGAGTTCAAACTGCTGGGCTGGATCCGGCTTGTGCTGGTGCCGGGATGCCCGGGGCTCGCAGCTGGGTGTGCTTCCCAGGGGGGTTGCCCTTGCGTGCTGGATGGAGGACCAGATGTTTGGGAAGCCAGGGAGGGCATGGGTGGGATGCAGACGTTACAGGACGATGCCCTGAACTCCTGCAGGAGGGAATGCAAGGAACTTGGAAAATGCAGCTTAATTGCTGCCCTGGGCCCCACAGGCTGGAGGTTACCTTCATTTTTAAGGAGTGTATCTTCCACAAACACAACAATTTCCATTTAAAGGCACCCAAGTGACTGAAACTCCACCACTTCTCTGTTAAGCTCCTTGCCTTGTTATCAACATTCGCAATGCACTGATGAATACAAGCTTCGGATATCAACTGTGGCTGCAGGGACATGGCAGGACAGTCCCTGCTCCAAAATAATTTCCCTGCTCTGTTCAGAGCTGGCATCTTGTTTATCTTTTGATGTTTTCCAGGATTTGGGGTAGAAAGGGAAAATCGGGGATAGCAGCGGAGCTCCTCTTCTTGCGCTCCGGCACTTCCAGCCGCCTGGGACTGGGACATGCAGCGCATCGAAGGCAAAGACTGACTGCTGGCTGCACTTCAAGGATTCATTTATTTGTTTTTCCAGTCCAGTAATTGCCACATGTAACCAGCAAATTGTTTTTTGATGTGTTCCTGAACTCCTATTCTCTCCCATTTTTCCTGTTCTTTGAGGATGAACACTCTCGTCACAGCACCAGCTGTAATCTGTCTTTGGCTGGTGGCAAAAGTGTTGTGCCCAGCTCCCTGCTTTACCATGCTTGGCACTGAATTGCCCAGTCCATGCTGGTCCTTCACAGTTAGAGGAGCATCCACACCATGGGTCTGGACACAGACAGGCAGCATCCCTGTGGCAGAGCCGGTGGCACAGACACCCCGTCTCCCAGTGCCTGCTGCTCCCCGTCCCACATTGCACAGCATCCACTGCCCAGACAGGGCAGTGAAGAGGTGCAAAGTGGGGAACAGGGTTTTTAGGAGCATGTTAGGTAAAGGCTGGTGGTGGATGACTTCAGTAGGGCTTTAGCCTGCCTAGGGATGGGGGCAAGAGGATGGGACATTTCAATTTCTCTTCCAATCCTAACTTCCATGACTCCGCTTCCAGCACAAACTCCAAACCTCTCTTTTAGGAATGCTCAGAGGGGCAAGAAGGGCAATACCATTTGGACCACACCAGGTCCACAGCCTGCTGCCCCGGTACATGGCAGCCGCTTCCCCAGCCCCCAAGCAGGGAGGAGCTCAGCAACCGTGGCAGACCTGGACCACTGGGGACCAGGCAGGGTACCAGGCCACTGATGGGACCAGCATGGGGGCTGCCTGTGGGCATCCTGCCTGGGTCCCCCAGGATGCTCAGGTGCCGGCACCAGTTACAGCAGGGCTGGGAGAATCAGGGAAGGCTCAAGGAGGATGCCAGAGTGGCTCAGACCCCAGCTCCATCTCATGCATGGATAGGCAGAGTCTCCACTTGGACAACTTGCTCCTTCCCTGGCCCATCACTCCGTCGGGCAACGCTGCATGCAGAGCAAGCCAACCCCAACACCGTCTCGGAGAGGCCAGTTGCTGCCGCGGAAGTTACCTATGGCAAACTCGTCAAAGGTGACAGTGGTGGAGTTTTTGCCCAGAGGATTCGTGACTGTCAGAGTCACCTTGTACTTCACTGTCGAGAAGAGCTGCAGGTATCTGATGTGACACCTGTTTTTGGGAAAGACATCCTTCTCGCAGACCATCTCTCTCGTGCCGTGTCTGGAAAGCAGGGGTGAGAAGAGCTGTTACCTACAGAGCAGTGCTCGCGGTGGGGATGCACCCATGCTGCTGGAGGCAGGAGGCAGAAAGAGCAGCACTGTGTCCCTGCTCTGCCTGCGGTGCCCAGGCACCAGCCCCTGCCACAGCCAAAAGGCTGCTTTCCTCCTGCCAGGGAATTTTGAGGGCTCATGTGTGTGATGTTTTACCTTAAGCCTGCACAGAGACTGTGGTGAATGTCCTCACACTCACCCCAAGGAAAGGATGAGACCCTGCTGGCATTGGGGTTGGTCCCTCCCGTGAGAGGAACAGCATCTCCTTTCTTCTGATGACACAAGCCCCAGAAGATAATGCATGGCACCAGCATGTATAAAGGCTGTGCCAGGACCTGGGCACAGGGTAGGGCATGATGCCATGCCATGGCCAGTTCTAGGTGAGGGACACTGCTGCTGTCCAGCCACAGCCAGTGTACAGCAGAAGGGAGCATGGCTGTGTCAAATGTGCCAAAAACAGTGGGCGCAACCTCCCATGTGGACAAATGGTGCAGAGAGATGGCCATGGAAAGGGGATCTGGGAGCTGGGGACTTTCTTGGTCCCCTGTTGGGAAACCGGAACCTTCCTGGGACAAAGCCCCAGTGCAAAGCATCCAGTTTGGATGTCCCTGGAGCATCCTTCCCCAGGCTCATTTTTGGGACACCAATCCCATATGCGCAGCAGAGGTCAGACCCACTGCGCCAAGACTTCAAGGCACTACTGGGGACCTGCTCCAGGCTGCAGGGACAGAAACTCGCCCCGCTGCACCCTTCCTTCCCAGGCACTTACATGACAGAGATGTTGAAGGAGTTGGGGATGTAGGTGGGAGTGGGCAGGTGCCAGCTGCAGTAGAAACCTTTCGGGTAGTTGTTGGACCGGCACATCAGCACTGGCTCCCTCGGGGGGGCTGCCGGGGAAAGAAAAAAGAGCAATTATCCCTTGAGGTGGGGTTATCACCAGGTCCTGAACAAGGGGATGTCCCTCCACTCTCAACTGCTGCCAGCTCAGGAGGGGACACAGTTTACAAGGGGAGCCTGGTCTGTGTTTATCAGCTGCTTGAGGCATCTGGGGGCCTTTGTCCCATGTCTGCTGCTGAGGTCCTCCATGAGACCTTGCATTGGACTGGGCTGTGCACAGCAGCTCACCTTCTCCCCTGGCAGTTCACCAGCTCTAATGAGAGATGGAGTGGCAGAGAAGGTTGGAAGGTACCAGGGGAAATCGTCTTCAAGGCTGTGACAGAGATGTTGCTGATGGGGAGGAGGTGCTGCTCTCTTGACCCCATTAAGCTACAGTGCTCACGGCTTTCTCTGCCATGTCCCTGGGGAGTGATAAACTTGTTGAGGGATGATCCTCCAAAAGACCAGAGGTCCTCAAAGGGAGGAAGAAGGACTGCTTATGGCAAGATGAGGAGGAACAACTTGAAACCAGCAGAGAAAATTCAGCTTTGCAGGAGGACTGGCTGTGTTAATGCTTTCAGCAGTGGGGCAGAGCATCCCACCCCAGGGTCCTGCCTCCCAGGAGACACAGTGGCAACTGGAGATAGGACAAGAGTGTGCAGTGGGGATCAGCCTTCCTCTGGCCTCATCAGCCATTTCTAGAGCTTACAGGCAGAAGAGGATTTTAAACCCAATCAAGTGTTCACACTGCACTCAGCTTTCCCGGATATACGTGTACTCTGTGGTCTTTGCAGGAGCACAGCCAGAGCTGCGGGAAGACTCTGCAAAATGCCAAGGGCTAGTGTATGTGGGAGAATGAGATGTGATATCTTTCAGCTGATAAATTTTGCCCATGTAGGTTGGTAAAAATCTTATCTGAACTGACACTGAAGTAAACTCCTCTCAGTACCTGGACACTTGCATTGCTAAGAGCAGAGTTTGGCTCTAACTGCAGCACCTTGGCACAGCACCTTGCAATGAAACACACTCCCTGGGCTGGATGTGCACCATGGTTCCCTCGGAAAGGCTGTCTGAACCTGTGGTGGTCCCTCTTTCCCCTCCTTTGTTAGCCCTCGTCCCCATGCATCCACCCAGAATGTGCCAGGACACACTCTTCTCTTCAAGCAGAGGTTTTGAAACAAACATAGCAGATCTAACATCGCTGCGTACCACCCCACTGCGGTCCCAGCAGCAGTCCCCACCACATGGCTTACCACTCTCCTCCCTGCTGCTGAGGCAGATGCCTTAGCCATGGCCGTTACCAAAAATGAGATGCAAACTAGGATGCAGTAATGCAAGAGTTCAGGGAGCAACCCCTGGCTGGGAAACTCCTTCCCCCAAGGGCTGCAAGGGAAAAATCACAAGTCCCACAGCACTGTGCATCCACCATATGTTGCTATGGAGAATCCCATACTGATGGTGCAGTGAAGTTGTGAACCAACATAAGAGCCTTCTGCATGCCGTGCCAGAGAAGAAAAGGATGCAGCGAGTCAGCTAAGGGTGCCCTCACTGCACCAGTGAGCTGGCAGCACCAGGACGATGCCAAAGACTGAAGACATCAACGCAAAATGGGACATCCCTGCAGCCATGTCTGTGCAAATCCCCAATGTGGCGCAGAGCCGTGCAGAGCTGCTGGTCTCCTGGATGTCTCCTCAGCGCCACTTAGGTGCAGCCGAGGCCTCACTGGTGTAACACACTCAGGGATGCACCCAGGACTGGAGCAGGACCCTGATGGGGAACAGCAGCCCAATTGTGCCCTCTAGAGAGTGCCAACCCAGCCAGCTTGCCGTGAGCACAGGCTGCCAGGGTGGGCTGCTGGGATCCTGGCTTGGCATTGAAGAGCAGAGCCCATGGTCAGAAAGTAATGATGGGTTTTGCTAGAAAAGCTTTCTGGTAGGATGCCTGGACGTCCAGCTGTAGCACCCTAGTGCAGTCTACAGAGGGGAAACTGAGACATGGGGCTTGCACACACGCTGGTGTCCCAGGGCAGGGCTGGGGAGGGAGCAAGCAGATGACAAGAGCGCCAAGGGCAGCAGAGTCAGGGAGAAGGGAGAGGGAGAGGGAGAGGGAGAGGGAAGGAAAGGAGGGGGCCGGCGGGGAGGGGAAGCTGTGCCAGTCCACGACACGTGTTCCTCCTAATGGCTATTCCAGCCTTCAGCCGGCAGATGAAGGCCAGAGCCTGGTTAATGAGCCTCCCAGCTAAATTATTCAAGCAGACCCTCCGCAGCAAAACAGAGTGGCTAATCTTAAGGCCAGAGACAAGTCCCTGCTACAGCTCCATCCTCCTCCTCCTCGCCGGCTCCTTAACCCCTTCCCTGCCCCACAGCTGCCCCCGGGGTGAGGCGGGAGCAGACGCAGGGCAGCATCGCCCTGTCGCAAGGGGTAATGGGGCAGGGTTGTGGGCTCCTGGGAGGTGTTTCGGAGGGGTTGAAGGGGATTTAGGGACAGCTCTGGGGTCCGAGCGACCGCGTGGTGGCAGTGTGGGCTAACAGCACCCGCCTGGGACCCGGCAAAGCGGGCTGGGGGCTGGAAATATCGCATGGGAGGGAGGATGGTGGGGATGCTACTGTGGACCTCTCGCCCACTTGCTGCTTGTGCTCAGCTGTGCCGCACGACACCAGGAGCCACACCGGGTAGAGGCAGCCGAGGCTTCAGCGAGCATCCCTGAAGACCTGCACTGTCCCTGCCCGACGAGGAGGCTCTGCCCTACATGCGCAGCCCCAGATGATGCACTGCTACTGAGGATAATTTATCTCTGTTGTCTCCGGTATTATGCCGGATCCATCTTTTGGTGGTCTGTGCTAATTCCTCCACCAAGGAGGCTGGGGCGGGCTCGTGCTTCCAGGTTTGCTTTGCTGGGAGAAGGAGGGCTGCCCAAACAGCCTCCCGCTTCCATCCCTACTCTGCAACAGCCTTTGAAGATGCCCCATTTTCACAACCTTGAATGCCTTGAAGACCCTGTCCTCTGCTCCAAGACTGGGGCCCCAAATGCAGCCCCTAACCTCTGTGCCCCCAGCATCTTCCACCTTCCATGCTCTGATGCCTTTTAGCAAGCCAGAGGTGGAAGGAGAGGCTGGGAAAGGGGGACAAAATAACCCTCATACCTCTGCTACCCATGCAGCGTCCTCAGCCCACTGCATCTGAAGGGATGCTGCTGTATGAAGCCTGTCTCCCAGCCATCGCCCTCTCTTTCTGGGCAGGGACAAGCTGTCTCACAGGGACACTCCTGCCACCTCTGTCTCTCCAAAGAGCCATCAGTCCCAGAGCCACAGGTGTTTTGGGAAGGGGATGTCAAACAACTGCCCCACTTTCTACCTTGATGGGCAGAAAGTCCACCCCACGGGAGAGTGAAGGGCCAGTGTGATGTGCCATTTGGGGCTGTGACCATGACACCATGCCGGTGACCATGACCATGACTGCCAGGTGCCACGAAGGAGAGAGCTGCAAGCCCCTTCTCAGTGGCCATGCTGCATCAGGAGGGCTGCCTTTGCCCACCCTGCCCTGGTGTCTTCTCCAAGCTGGTGGCAGAGTCTCCATCTCCCCATAGTAGATGGTCGCTTGCAACCCTGTTCCTCTCCCCTCCTCTCCCAGGAAAGGCGCTCGCCAGCACAGCTCATCCTGCCCATCAAAGGCTCTTAAAGAGAGCAAATAAAATTGCAGGCTCCAATCGATCCGGCGCTCCGTAATGCTGTCTTTGGAGGTGGGCCAGCCTGTCGGGCCGATGGAGAGAGCAAGAAAGGCAGTGGAGGAAAACAAAGCCATCAAGGGAGCATTAAAGGTTTTTTCTGCCCTGAGGCTTTGGGCAGTGCCTCTGGGTGAGGGCTGTCCCGCCCCAACCTCCTCCATCCTCCCCCAGCTGATGTCCAGCTTTCAGCCCCTGCCTAACGCTGAAAACAGCCCGAGCAACACGTTGCCCCTGCATGGGCACTTCTCCCCAGGCTCCAGCACGCAGCCTCCCTAATCCTGGCAAATGTTTACTTCCCTGTCGCCTCATGGAGCTGCTGAACTCTGTAAAGGCAGAGATCCTTTCCTTTCGCTGCAAAAGCGCCTGCCCTCTCTAATCTGTCTATTAACCTCTTGCATGGCAGGAAGCCACTTCTCCCACGCGCTCTGCCGATGTCCTCTCTGCAAATCCAGCATGTTTAATGCCTGGCCGTGGCAGCTTCCCAGCAGCTTGGGCTGCAACCAGCCTTGCTGCAAAAGCTCGGGACAAGAGGATGGAAGGCTGCGCCAGAGCTGGGCGCATCCCACCTGGGCACGCTGCTTGCAAGCCATGCAATGCTCCAGCAAAATTCAGAGCTGCAAGAGGCAGCAAAAGCTGGTACCAGGGTCATCATCTCTGTAGACCCTGCAGAAGACTGGTGGCAGGGACGGGGTTGGCTTTCCCACCACACGGTGCCCCAGACTTTGCATCCATTTGACTGCAGTCTCTCTGGCTTGTTGGAAATAGCTGTCACTTGACCAGCTCCGGCATTTCTGCTCAGCTGGGGAGAGCACAACAAGTGGTCCTCAACGATGAAACAGCTCTGGATGCATCAGCACAGACACAGATTTTTGTCTCCCTTCCCATCTCTAAAGCCCAGTCGTCCTTGTACCCTGAGTCCCACTGTGCAGGGGAAAAGTGTGACCAATCCATTTTAGAAACCACTAAAAATGATCTACAATAGCTTTTCCTAGCCCTGCTAGGTCATGAGATAATGGATATTAAAATCATGGCATTTTTATATATAGAAAAGTTATTTTAGGTCATTTTTAGAGGTTTCTGAAATGGATCAGTTATAATTTTCCTCTCCTGCTGAGGGCTGAATGCACTAAAGATGCCTTGCTCCACAGGTGGAGAGATACAAAAAATAGTACCAATAAAAGTTTTAAGAGGCCTCTCAAACACTTCTGTAGGAGGTATTTCTTCTGGTGCACTAGGGGCACATTCAGGCGCCAGGCTGCTGGGGGATACCGGTCCTACAGCATGCTT